ACTCTAAAACTTTGACTGGAAATTGTAGATTGTGTTCTTCTCCACTTGGAAAGCCTTTGCAAGAATATCAGCAGAGATGTCGGGCTTTGATCCAAATACTGCATTTGCAATGGTAATGACACCTGGATTTTGGCTGCTGAGAGCTGCGATGGCAACTGCATTACCATATCCCACATTTTGTTGGAAATGCACGAGACCGACAGGGAACACAAACACATCACCCTTCTCAAGTACCTTGGTGATGAGACGGTTTTCGGGGTTGGAAGTGACAAAACCCACTTTGAGGCTCCCTTCCAGGACTGTCAAGATTTCACTCGCTCGAGGATGTGTGTGGGGAGGGTTAATACCCCATGGTGCATAGTCGATACGTGCAATAGAGATACCAAGAGTGTTAAGTCCTGCAATTTGGGCTACGTTGACAGGGGTCACACTGGAGCCAACTGCATTTGATGTGTTGCCTGCCAGTTGAAGCCCACTGAAGAAGAAGTCATTGGCTTCAGCAAGCTTGGGATCCTTGCAGACAAGACCATTCACAAGTACTGAAAGCATGATGAGAAAATCACATTAGACACGGATATAGTTTACCATTTTATCATAGTATGCATGTATTTGTTTTGCAGAAATAGAACAAAAAATATATGAAATTATGATTCTAGCCACCTGAGTTCTTTGCGTCAGCCACGCAGAAATCCTGAAGAGAACTCGGGTCAGATGCCAAGGCAATGGAAGAAGTTATGGCGAGCAATGCCAACAAGAGAAACTTAGAGGCCATTGGAAATTCTCCCTATCTTAATGTCACACTATATATCGAAGATTCGAGGCAGGAAGCGGAGAGATTGAGCAACTTTGCTTAAACTTTGTAAGCAAGGATATGTATGAACTTGAGTTGTGGATTGAAACCATATCTATGTCTCTGCTTTTATAGAGGGAGGGATCTCTTCTCTACTTGTTTTTTGTTGTCCTGTGCTCTGAAAAAGTCTTTTTGTTTTAACCCTATAGTACAAGTTTTTCATAGAAAGCTGCATGTCATCGCTTATCTGATCATCTTAATTTTCTGGTGCCGGCATTGGTGCTTGGCCTGCTGCCATGAGGAAGGGTTCCTTTCTCTGTGTGACAAGAATCTTTAGCCTGGTCATATTTGATGGAGGCCGTATCATATTACTCACAAATTTAAAAGGGCTTCTAGAATAAATTTTATAAAACTCTCGGCGCCTATTTCTCTGCTCTTTCTGCAATGAATAGATTTATTGTCATTCAGAATTTATGTTATAGTTATATACTACACAATTGGTAATATTCTATATGCAGCTGGGAAGCATCAGATAATCTATTGGAGGTTTCTTTTTATTTCATGCAAATTTGGTTTGAAAGCCAGTTGCCTTGCTTTGACTTGAACAAGGATATATTATTTCTGGACAGCAGATGTGGACTTATTCAATTTGGTGTAGTTTCCACACAAAAGTATGAAACTTTATTATAATTATAAATAAAAAATAAAATAAAAAGGTCAACCACCTATTACTTAAATTACTATACTATTCTTTCTTTTTTTAAAATGAAATCATGCATCATTCAGTCATGCAGATCTAAGCTTGTACATGAGACATCGGAAATGCATTAATTTAAGCCAAGCTGCAGGACCATCCTCTAACCAAATAGACGCATCCATGCATGTCTTAGCAATGCCTTAGTTTCCAAGTTATGAGTTACAAGTTTAAACAAGCCATTAAAACTTGATCCCTAAAACAGAGAGAAAAAAGAGAAAAAAAACAAGCCATTAACAATACTTCAATATACCATCTCCTGCTGATTTAGGGATTTAGGGATTTAGGGATCAAGGTTTATGATTCAACTCTCAAATCGTCGAGAGCTGAACCCAAGGCTACACCATATTATTATGTATAAAACTCAATGTGCTGTAGTTTAAACCATCAGGTTTTATTCATTTATAGAGTAGAGCACTGAGGTTTCTTGTCAGCAAAAATGGAAATTTACCCAATTCTTGAAGGAAGGGCACTGAGGTTTCTTATCAGCAAGAATGGAAATTTACAAGTCCTTGGTAAAATTATTACATTAATAATCAAATCTACTCAAAATTATTTTCAGGGCATGACCTCCGGGTGCGGTAAGTTAGTATCAATGTCCATGATTATCACTCAAACCAATAGAATGAAACAAAATAATAGATCAACTTTGATTACACTGGTGTATGAGCACAAACAAATTATCTCCTTGAAGTATCAGCATCAAACAAAATAACAGACCTTGTTCCTAATATAACAAAAACAAAATACAAGACAAACATGATTGCACCCCTAAGTGAAACGTAAAGATTCTCTAAACACTACAATACACACTTCAAATGACCCTTTTTAGTCCCTCTCGATTGAATCAGAGGTTTCAAATTGGACTCTAAAACTTTGACTGGAAGTTGTAGACTGTGTTCTTATCCACTTGGAAAGCCTTTGCAAGAATATCAGCAGAGATGTCCGGCTTTGATCCAAATGCCGCATTTGCAACGGTAATAACACCTGGATTTTGGCTGTTGAGAGCTGCAATGGCAACTGCGTTACCATATCCAACATTCTGTTGGAAATGCACAAGGCCTACTGGGAACACAAACACATCACCCTTCTGAAGCACCTTGGTGATGAGGCGGTTTTCAGGGTTGGAGGTGACAAAACCAACTTTGAGGCTCCCTTCCAGGACTGTCAAAACTTCAGTGGCTCGAGGATGTGTGTGTGGAGGATTAATACCCCACGGGGCATAATCGATACGCACAATGGAGATGCCAAGAGTATTAAGTCCCGGAATTTGGACTGTGTTAACAGGGGTCACACGTGAACCAACTGCATTCGAGGTGTTTCCTGCTAGGTGAAGCCCACTGAAGAAGAAGTCATTGGCATCAACAAGCTTTGAATCCTTGCAGACAAAGCCATTCACTTGTACTGAAATCAAATGAGAAAATTACATTAGAAACCATATATAATTACAGCTAGCTGATTGATATTATCTTCATAATATAGATAATATATGAATATGATTCTAGCTAGCTAGGTACCTGAGGCTTTTGAATCAGCCACACAGAAATCCTGAAGAGAACTCGGGTCAGATGCCGAAGCAATGGCACAAGTTATAGCAAGGAATGCCAACAACAGAAACTGAGAGGCCATTTTAATTTGGAAATTCTTTGGCTCTCTATTATCACACTTAAACTTTGTGAAGAAGGATAAACTTGAACTATGGATAAAGACCACCATATGTTGCTACTTTTATAGAGAGAAGTATAGCTAGCTCAAACCTTTTGTGTTCTTCTCTGCACTGAAAAAGTCTAGGCTTGTAACCGTGTGTGACAATTTGTTTAACTAAAGGCTTGTCATCTATTACCTCGTTTTATTCAGGCAATGGCATCGGTGCCAGCATTGAAATGATTCCCTTTCTGTTTATGAGAAGAAATTAAGAATAGCAAAGTCAAAGTTAATGGAGGCTTGTATTACTCATAAAATTTAGTAATTACTTTGGCCTATTCTTGAGATTGAGTTAAGGAGACTTGTTCAGTTTCTTTTGTCATTGTTATTAGTTTTGTGTATTTGCTGTTAGTTTTTAGTGTAATGTTTTTGCCCAGCAAGGATTGGAAGAAAGAAACTACAAATTGCATACTTTTCTCAAGGAAACACAAATTACACGTAAAGACAATTTCAATTATTTTTAAATTTTCTGTTGTCTCTTCCCCACCTCCCTCATCTTCCTTCCTTCTTTCTCTTGTGTACTTCCCTCCTCCAAAAAGCAAAACAAAACCAAACTCATTCATAACAGGGCAAAGGAAAAGATAGGTGTCACGGGGCTTCCTTTAAAATCTCTTCAGAGAGAGAAAACTCTTTAAAAGATAATCGATATTACAATAACCATATGTTACAAGACAAAAATCCATCATTGAAATATAAGCTTCACATTATATGCCCTACACAAATCCAACACGAAAGCGCTGTTACCAAAAACCCATCTCTTATACAAGGACCCTCACCCCCCACAATCCATACATCATATCAAATCTAAATTGACTGAGCACCAGACAATCACCCTTTCAAAGTAAGCCAACAACATACCAATTTTTGGACAAACTGAGAAACTACAAAGATACATCAAGCACCAAGCTCCTCTTCCTCCTCCGCGTACTCTTCCTCCTCCACTGTTGCATCCTGGTATTGCTGGTACTCAGCCACCAGATCGTTCATGTTACTCTCGGCCTCGGTGAACTCCATCTCATCCATTCCCTCTCCAGTGTACCAATGCAAGAAAGCCTTGCGCCTGAACATAGCTGTGAACTGCTCGCTAACCCTCCTGAACATTTCCTGAATAGAAGTCGAATTCCCCATAAAAGTGGATGCCATCTTCAGACCCTTGGGTGGGATGTCACACACACTGGACTTAACATTATTGGGAATCCACTCAACAAAGTATGAGGAGTTCTTGTTCTGGACATTAATCATCTGTTCATCAACTTCTTTGGTGCTCATCTTACCACGGAACATGGCAGAAGCAGTAAGGTAACGTCCATGGCGTGGGTCAGCTGCGCACATCATGTTTTTGGCATCCCACATCTGCTGGGTCAATTCGGGCACGCTCAGAGCACTGTACTGCTGCGATCCTCTTGAAGTTAGGGGTGCAAACCCAACCATAAAGAAGTGCAGCCGTGGGAAAGGGATAAGGTTAACTGCAAGCTTCCTAAGGTCAGAGTTCAACTGTCCAGGAAACCGAAGACAACATGTGACACCGCTCATGGTGGCAGAGATGAGGTGGTTAAGGTCACCAACTGCAATCACAATGCAAACAAATATGTCAAAAGGATCACATAGCATATCTTCCAATTATCACTTAAGATTCGTATGTGCACATATAATTTATATCGTTTCTTTATAAGATGCAAATTTCTGAGGAAAACCAATTTATCATATAACCATTGTCAGCTACTATATATATTAAGATATGGACTTACAAGTAGGGGTGGAAAGCTTGAGAGTACGGAAGCAGATGTCATACAGAGCCTCGTTGTCCAAAACCATACATTCATCGGCATTTTCGACAAGCTGATGCACAGATAGGGTAGCATTGTATGGCTCAACAACTGTATCCGACACCTTCGGAGATGGGAAGACAGAAAATGTCATCATCATCCGATCTGGGTACTCTTCCCTGATCTTGGAAATAAGAAGGGTTCCCATGCCAGAGCCAGTGCCACCACCCAAAGAATGACAAACTTGGAATCCTGTTCAAAACAAAATGGAAATATTAAAATTTTGAATCATAGCATCCAAATCAGCCATTCAAATTCTAAACTGTCAGACCAATTAAGCATTTTTAATTGCAACATCACAATTATTATTGCTACAAGCCTACAATTTCAAAAAATTAACCATGATTAAGCGCTATAAAGACATTCAAGCCAACCCAAATAACACATGGGGCATAATTAGGCACCACAATATCATATAAAATCACACTCACAAAAATAAAATAAAATAACCACTAAATTTCGAAATACAAAAGAAACCAGAAAACATTTTCATCATACCCTGTAAGCAATCGCAGTTCTCTGCCTCTTTGCGCACCACGTCAAGCACAGAATCAATAAGCTCAGCACCCTCCGTATAATGCCCCTTAGCCCAGTTGTTTCCAGCCCCAGACTGCCCGAAGACGAAGTTATCGGGTCTGAATATCTGCCCAAACGGGCCGGATCGGACCGAGTCCATGGTCCCAGGCTCCAGATCCATA